TTAACGCACGCACACTGAGGACTGACGAGAAGATCCTGGAGCTGGAAGAAGAGATAGACAAGTTGCGCTGGAGTATTATAGGATTATCCGAGGTCCGAAGAGGAGGGGGAGGACACGGTGATTCTCGAATCCGGCAACTTGTTCTATCACCGGGAGGGCGACCATCTGTCCCAAGGAGGTGTCGGATTTATCGTCCACAAGTCTCTCGTCAACAACGTTGTACAGATTGAGAGTGTGTCGACGAGGGTCGCGTACCTGATACTCAGAATCACCAAACGGTATTCGCTGAAGGTCATACAGGTTTACGCACCAACGTCGGCACATTCCGATGAGGAGGTGGAGGAAATGTATGAGGATATTTCCAAAGCCATACATTCCTCCAAAACCCACTACACGGTGTTGATGGGAGACTTCAACGCAAAACTAGGCACAAGAGAAAACGGTGAGCTGAAGTTAGGGAAATTTGGAGTAGGGCAACGGAACCGAAGGGGCCAGCAGCTGGCCGACTTTATGGAGAAAGAGGGACTCTTTATGATGAACTCTTTCTTCCAGAAGCGGCCCCACAGGAAGTGGACCTGGTCGAGCCCCGACGGTTCGACAAAAAATGAGATTGACTTCATTATGACGACCAGACGCCAACTGTTCAGTGATGTCTCAGTGATCGCAAGGGTGAAAACTGGCAGCGATCACCGAATGGTTAGAGGCACACTGAACCTAAACGTTAAGTTGGAGAGGTCTCGTCTAATGAAGTCAACGCTCCGTCCCCCTCGTGCTCTGATCCAAAATCCCGAAAACTTTCAGCTCGAGTTACACAACCGCTTTCAGTGCCTACAAGATTGCAATGCAGTGGACGATATGAATGACAAGCTCGTGGAAACTGTCCATGCGGTCGGAGCTAAGTTCTGCAAGACCCGCCGCAGAAGAACACAAAAACTCTCCGATCACACTCTTAATCTCATGGCTGTTAGACGGGAGATGAGGCTGCAATCGTCAACAGATTTGACAGCATACAGGCAACTGAACAGACAGATCTCCAAATGCATACGGCGAGACTTACGCAACTTTAATACTGCTCGTATTAAAGAAGCGATCGAGCGGAACCAGGGCTCCAAAGTCTTTGCCAGAGATCTGTCTGCCAGAAAGAGCCAACTGTCAAGGCTGAAGACTGAGTGTGGCAGCATCGTTTCCGGGACACCTGAGATTTTGAGTGAGATTGAGAGGTTCTATGGGCAGCTGTACACATCATTGTTGGAGCCACACGCAAGTGTGAGTAACGATCCAAGAGCAAGTCTTATCCGACACTATTCCGATGATATCCCGGACGTCAGTCTAAGCGAGATTAGAATGGCTCTCCAGCACCTTAAAAACGGCAGGGCCCCAGGCGAGGATGGAATTACAGCGGAGCTTCTGAAAGCGGGTGGAACACCGGTACTTGAAGTCCTTCAGAAGCTCTTCAATTCCGTCCTCCATGATGGCACTACTCCGGAGGCGTGGAGCAGAAGTGCGGTGGTCTTGTTCTTTAAGAAAGGCGACAACGCTCTCTTGAAGAACCACAGACCGATTTCCCTTCTGAGCCGCGTCTACGTGCTGTTTTCGAGAGTCATTACGAATCGTCTCGCACGCAGACTCGACGACTTCCAGCCTCCCGAACAAGCCGGTTTCCGAAAAGGCTTCAGTACCATAGACCACATACATACCCTGCGGCAGATTGTACAGAAGACTGAAGAGTACAATTTGCCACTTTGCCTGGCGTATGTGGACTATGAGAAAGCCTTTGATTCCGTCGAAATTTGGGCGGTGCTGCAGTCCCTTCAGCGGTGCCAAGTTGACTGTCGGTATATCGAAGTGCTGAAGTGTTTGTACAGTAGGGCTACGATGGCTATCCGAGTACAGAACCAGAGCTCGAAACCTATCCAACTGCAGAGAGGTGTAAGACAGGGTGACGTTATATCCCCGAAACTCTTCACCGCTGCTTTGGAAGACGTTTTCAAGCTACTGGACTGGAAAGGATACGGTATTAACATCAATGGCGAGTACATCACTCACCTTCGATTTGCCGACGATATAGTCCTTATGGCAGAATCGCTGGAGGACTTAAGCACTATGCTCAATGACCTCAATAGTGCCTCCCAACGGATAGGTCTTAAGATGAACATGGACAAAACAAAGATTATGTTTAATGTCCATGTCACACCTATGCCGGTAGTTGTTGGAAACACTATGCTCGAAGTTGTTGACGAGTACGTTTACCTGGGACAAATATTCCGACTAGGTAAGTCCAACTTCGACCGAGAGGTCAATCGACGGATTCAACTCGGCTGGGCAGCGTTCGGGAAATTACGACATATCTTCTCGTCAGGTATACCTCAATCTCTGAAAACTAAAGTGTACAACCAGTGCGTGTTGCCAGTGATGACTTACGGATCAGAGACGTGGTCCTTCACTGCTGGCCGTATGAGGACGCTCAAGGTCGCTCAGCGAGCTATGGAGAGGGCTATGCTCGGAGTTTCTCTGCGTGATAGACTCAGAAATGAGGATATCCGCAGTAAAACCAGATTGACCGACATAGCCCAACGGATTAGTAAGCTGAAGTGGCAATGGGCCGGCCATATAGCTCGAAGAACCGATAACCGATGGGGAAGAAAGGTTCTCGAGTGGCAGCCTCGTACCGGTAGGCGTAGTGTAGGGCGACCCCCCACTAGATGGAGTGACGACCTGGTAAGATATGCAGGAAGTCGATGGATGCAGGTGGCTCAGGACCGTACTTTGTGGCATTACTTGGGGGAGGCCTATGTTCAGCAGTGGACTTGTGAAGGGCTGTGATGATGATGATGATGACTGCTAGAATGGTCAAGTACGGTGGGCCTCGCGTCTGGGACAGCTTCCATCTGCTATGCAATTTGTGCTGGCGGACGAGAGATGTCCCGGATGATTGGCGATCCGCGGTCATTGTGCCTTTATATAAAGGTAAAGGTTCACATTTTGACTGCGGGTGCTATCGGGCGATCAGCTTGACCAGTTTAGCAAGTAAAGTTTAATCGAAGGTTTTGACACGTAGGATGCAAGAGAAATCGGAAAGATTCTTATGGGAGGCACAATGCGGATTTAGACCTGGAAGAGGATGCACGGATCAAATGTTTTCTCTCCGCATGATCACGGAAAAGCTTTTGAGTGTTAACCAGAGGATTTTCTGTGCTTGTGTGGATCTGGAGAAAGCATTTGATAAGGTTATAAGGAAGAAAATGTGGGAACTGTTTCCGGGATAGTCGATTAATATAGCGGGATAGATTAATAATATTAAAAATCGATAGATTAATAAAGCGGGATGGTCGATTAAGGGCTGTGCAGTCACTTTACTATGACTGTAAAGCCTGTGTGCGGGTAGGGCATGACCTGTCACCCATGTTTAGCGTCCAAGCGGGCGTAAAACAGGGTTGTGTCATGTCTTCCTGGCTGTTCATACTGTATCTCGACAGCTGTTTACAGAAGCTGAAAAATAGCTGTTTGGGTGTGAAATTGGGTGATATTAAAGTAAATTGTCTGCTGTATGCTGATGATGCAGTGCTTATTGCACCATCAGAAGCAGAACTGCAGGCATTAGTCACGTGTATGAAAGAGGAATGTGAAATTAAAGGTCTCCGTTTGAATGCTAATAAAACTAAGGTTCTGGTATTTGAAAAGGACGAAGAGAGAACGAAATGTGAAATATGGGTAAATCAGGAATGTCTAGAACAGGTAAATGAAATTGTATAGTTGGGGAGTGCTTTCAGCCGGGATGGAAGATGTGATTTAGATGTGAATAGGCGTGTCGCTGCCGGAAACAAAGTCAATGGTGCCCTGAATGCATTAGTCAAAAGGCAAGGCGTGATGAAGAGTGCACGCCTTGCAATGCATAACGCAGTGTTGGTACGGACTTTGTTATGTGGCAGCGAAACCTGGGTATGCCAGAAGAAGCATAAAAGCAGGTTGAATGCAGTGGAGATGCGATCTCTTCGTAAAATGTGTGGCGTTACCATAGCCGATCGAAAGCGAAACGAAGAGATTCGCAATATGGCAGCATTGAAAGATGACCTTGTCACAAAAATTGATAGGGGCGTACTCCAATGGTTTGGGCACGTTGAGCGAATGAGTGAAGACCGAATGGTGAAGAAAATATATAGAGCGAAAGTAAATATTAAAAGGTGTCGAGGTAGACCGAGACTAACTTTCGAAGACCATGTGAGCAAATTGCTCGAAGAGGGGAAGGTCAAGAGTACTCGGATACCTAGACGTGCATGTATGAAGAAGTTAATGAACCTAAAAGAAGCGACAGAGGTATGTAAGGATCGTGACACTTGGCGATCTGTTCTCTTTGGCTACCCCGTTAGGGATTGTGCGTGAAGATAAAAACTAAAGAACAATATAAGCTGTCGCAGAAGTTAAATCTCTTGACTTTACGTGCACACAAACTTCGCTGAAGCTTCAGTTACATTATTTAACCTTGGAATAATTATATTTCAAGTGCATTTTCTCAAATGAAATATATACTCATTGTTGCAAAAGAAAATGTTTCATAATAGTTACAGTACGGTTATTTTAATCCATAATTATATTTTTACAAACAACACAAACTAAAAATTTATCTTTTCAAAACTACTTATTTTTTCAATTACATCTTACCAAATGTCCACTGTTGAACATTTACAACAGTTGCCACGCTTGAGACGTCGTTCTGCCCTTTCTGCTAGGTGGCGTGATGATTTTCATTTTCACACACATGCACTTTTCTATAGACTTACTGTATGAACACACACACGCACACACACACACACACACACACACACACACACACACACACACACACACACACACACACACACACACACACATTATATATATATATACACACATTAATGAACACACATGTGTGTGTGTGTGTGTGTGTGGTACAAAAGGAAAAACATAACCCTTCTTTACTAAATCGGAAAGGCATCATTTACCGTTTATATGTTTGCCAACAGGTGTGTCTTCACTGGAAGCGGCCAAGGACTTCACAGTGGATGGGCTCACAGGCTACAACGGGAAGAAGAAGAAGAAAAAACGCAGACATAGGTAAATATTAACGCTTTATTACAAGTTTATATATATTAAAATACCTATAACTAAGTTTTTATTTTACTACACCACCTAAAAAGGTATTCTTAGGACATTAGAACGGCAAGTCAATAAAGCTGTGCTATTACTTCCACAAGTCTCAACTGCGGAAGACCTTGTAAGTAGATGCGGCGAGAAACTCACGAGTAGTGCTCACAGCTCCTACGAGTAACCGATTGACCGATTTAAGTACCAATGCCCATAAACAGCAGTTAACTGCAACCTACAGATGTGACTTCGCCTTTGAGGATCTGTTGTAGATGTAACTAAATAACTAGCTGGAGTGCCGACCTGGTAAGACATGCAGGAAGTCGATAGACGCAGGTGACTCAGGACCGTGCTTAGTGGTAATCCCTGGGGGAGGCCTATGTCCAGCATTGGACTTGTGAAGGGTTGTTATGATGATGATGATGATGATTTACCCAGGTGTGTCGTCCTTGGCATAGAAGGACCTCTACTATATATCTAGATATTTGCTAGGTGATCAAATTCCTTTTTTTTCTAGAATCGGTCTGTACCTATAGTTACCACCTTCTTACCCGTTTCCGTGGTGTTGTAGTCTGAAAGGTATTAAGAGCCAGCCAATTATAGACTATGAGGCATTTTATCTTAATCCTCAAAGTGACAATTCTTCAGTATTCCAGGTGGACTGTATGTTCCTTTTCACTTCAGTTCAATAAAAAATAAACATTAAAAAAATAAACAAGCATTGAACACTGCAGAAAGTCACGGAATTAGCTTGTATGATAAACGCCTACCGTTAATTTAATTTCAAATGAAAAGTAGTTCTTTAACAAGCTCAGATAATTAATGTCTTGCGTGCAGAGATGTTTTTAAATTAATATATTTGAAACTAGGTTAAGTTGGATTTCAATTAATTCACACGTGTATTTATGTAGCAGATGAATTCCTAATGAGATAGTAAAATATACTCTCTTTATTATAATATACTCTGTGAAAAAATGAGATATTAGCTCAATTCTTAACAATTTTTCATCATTAATTTTTATAGATTTAGTGTGACAAACGAGTATACAATCCAGCTGTTAGTAAGTGGATACTGAGGTTCATAGACATCTACATTAATCCCCGATTAAGAATCAAAATTGTCACATCGAGGACTGAGATGGAATGCCTCGTTTCCAAAAGCCGTCGTAACAAAGTTTCAGCTCGTTAAAGTCCGTTGGCAAACTTAGGTACGGGGGGGGGGGGGTACGTACTTAACAACGGGGGGGGGGGGCCTTTGCTTGGAGCTGTTACCTTAACCAAACGTATCACACCTTTGACATTTGCCCAGCGCTGGTCTGAGTATTATGCGTCAAGCGTAAACGTGATGGTAATACCGCCATCTATAGTCAGTCATAAGAAACTTCTGGTATTTCTTATTGTATAGCTCTAACGTCACCCAAGGGACGCAGCAGGATCATGATTTGTTTACACCCAATTTAGGCCCAATCACAAAAAAAATATAAAATCTGACTTACGCCAAGTTTGAAAATTTTACTAAACAAAGATTGTTAAAAGGGTTTTTATAATGTTAAGGGATTTATGGAGGATAATAACCCCAGAAGGAGGTGATTGTTACTTCTAATTTATCTTGTGTTGTTGATTGTAACTTTAATGATTGTAAACCGTTCTTTTGTATTAAATGTGCCGCTGGGTTTCTTGCTAGTTCCTCCCAGGACAGAGGTATTTTCTAAACCCGTTGTAAATTAAGCATAATATTGAATCAAAATCTTTATACTTCTACCCGCTAATTGTTACCCAAGTCTACCCATCTGCGTTCTGTTTCTGCAGCAGGACGATCTTCACCTCGTACCAGCTGGACGAGCTCGAGAAGGCGTTCAAGGACGCGCATTATCCGGACGTGTATGCGCGAGAGATGCTCTCCCTCAAGACCGACTTGCCTGAAGATAGAATACAGGTAAGTGGCTTATTTTGACAACTATCGCTTTGTGTGGTCTAATAAGTGTATGATGTTAGTCGTCAATCATATATTTTTAAATTAATTCAATTAATTTTTATTCACAAGTAATTACTTATTACATCTTAATAACCAATTAACGAAAGTTAAGTTACACTTATAAAGTTCTTAGCGAACCGGCCCGGCTTTGCCCGGATGGGATCTATTAATGTAGGCTTATTCAGATTTAAGGTATTAAAAGATCATTAAGCGCTTTCGTTTTAAGAAAAGTTTTCAAGCTTTTCGAATATAATATAATATGCATCACACCTGGTATTGCCCCCTATTTGTCAATCAAATTGCATTACAATGGACTTAGCCATTGTAATGCAATGTCCGGCTTTAGCTTGAACAGATAGACCGACAGGACAGAAAGACAAAAATTTTAAAAATGATTTTTCGTGACTTGATGGCATGCAAATGGGGATTATTAGCATGCTATTAGATCAATAACCATTTTTTACAACATTTAGCTCAGTAAAATTCAGGTATTTTGATTCAAACGGTTCAATTTTACAATCGGAATAATTATGTCTTATATCTAAATAACTAATTAACAAGAGCTTACCGTTACGGCCTATTAAAGTCAACTGTCAACCGTATGCCTTCCCCATAGATTGCCGCATACAGGAAATATTTTCTATAATTGGCACGCTTGGCCGGCGGTTGGCAACCGCAGATTTTATTTATAGCCGTTATCAGGAAGACACTGCTGCCCAGCTCCTGATTTGTTTCCCGCTGTCGCCTCTTACGACACCCGCGGGATCATATGGGGTATCTAATGGTTATTCCTACACCGCCACTACACGGTGAACAACAGCTTAGTTACATTTTTAATGGCTATGATAATTTACTATTAATTAATTATATAGGTACTTACATAACACATGGCTATTAAAGTCAATTTTAAATTACAGCAATTGTGTACACAACCTTAATGGAATACTGTTTATTAGTACAAAATGTTCTTAATTCACCAGCAATTCTCAGTATACGATAACGCACGACGAGCACACAGTCCACCTGATGGTATCTAAGTAGATGCTGTGGCTCTTACATATCTACCTGCATCAATCCTCGATTAAGAATCGAAATGCAGATGCATGACCACCCCCTGATGACTATTTTTTTTATGAAATAAGGGAGACAAACGAACACACAGTAAGTGGATGCTGTAGCCTATAGATATCTGCATTTATCTTTGATTAAGAATCAAAACGCAGATGAGTTGTCACCCCTGAGGACTAAGATGGAATGCCTCGTTTCCAGTGAAAAAGGGTCTCTGGATCTCTACACTAACCATACGAAGCTGCTATTTTACGCTGGTATCCTGTGAGAGCGTGGTCCTTCCCGGCCGAGTTGACCCATTCGTACTACAACCATAATATAGCTGTAGCATGGCTCTACCACGTACTAAATAAGAAGGAATGCCTCGTATTCAATAAAAAGGATCTCCAGTTCTCTACAGTCACGAAACACAGCAGCATTGAACTGCTATTTTGCGCTGATATTCTATTAGAGTGTGGTCTTTTCCCTGCCAAACAGACCCATTCGTGCTACAACCATAATATAGCTGCAGCATAGCTCTACCACGTACTAAATAAGAAGGAATGCCTCGTATTCAATAAAAAGGATCTCCAGTTCTCTACAGTCACGAAACACAGCAGCATTGAACTGCTATTTTGCGCTGATATTCTATTAGAGTGTGGTCTTTTCCCTGCCAAACAGACCCATTCGTGCTACAACCATAATATAGCTGCAGCATAGCTCTACCACGTACTAAATAAGATGGAATGCCTCGTTTTCAATAAAAAGGGTCTCCGGTTCTCTACAGTCACGAAACGGGAAGCTGCTATTTTGCGCTGGTATTCTATTAGAGTGTGGTCTTTTCCCTGCCAAACAGACCCATTCGTGCTACAACCATAATATAGCTGTAGCATGGCTCTACCACGTACCTATGAAAATCTTTGTTCTATAACTTGACTAAAGCCCCGTAAATGTTATAAGTCAGCTGTAAGTCCCGCGGTTCGGTGGAGCGAGCGCCATTGTGTCCGCACAATTTGCTCGAAGAAAGAGCGAATAATTGGATTAGAGGCAAAAAAGCGCTCGTCTCGTATCGCGGTGGCCCAACAAAAACGCCTATTATCCACCTTACGTCAATCGCCGAGTAACTCGACACTCCGCCGATATCCGATGCGAATCAATCGGCCTTGCTACACTTAAATACGGTGACCACGCTGTTGACTTGCATTGGATTTCTCATGCGATACTTATGATTTCGACCGTAAAACCGTGTAATAGCAGTGTAAAAATATCCCCTATCCAATATTATCCCGTGGGTATCGCAAGAAACGACAAAGGGAAACAAATCGGAAATGGGCAGCAGTCTTCCTAATAACGACAAAAAACAAAAAACTGCAGTCTGCAACCCGCTCGCCGAGCGTGGCAACTATAGCAAATATCCACCTATGAGACAATCTATATGGGAGGTCTATGTTCAGCAGTGCACTTTAAAAGGACGTAACGGTAACAGTAGCTCACGAAACTTCAAAAAATCTTTGTCTAACTGATTAAAGTTTTTTTTAAATGATTTCTATGAAGTTCTGCATCTAAAGTTGACTGTTTAGAGAGTAGAAACAAAGCTGCATGCGTTTGGCAATATTTTTTTAAAAGCATTAATATTGATACTTAATTGATAACTTTTTTTAAATTATCTCCACACCAGGATTTTGCCATAAATTAAGAATCGCAGTTTCCATAATACTATCTCTTGGGTGTTTTAATAGGTGACAGAGGGAAATAAAACAAGGGATGAACTCAATAATTTAAAAAAAACTGCGACTGGCAACCCGCTTACCAAGCGTGGCCACTATGGTATATACTCCGATATAAAGCTATTTATGGAAGATGTTCAAAAGTGGACTTTAAATATGCTGAAATTGGTGGATTCCTTAAATTCTTAGATAAAACTTAGCCTACGTATAGTGGAAATAGTATCATGATGATGAAAAAAGTAATAAATACCTAAATAAATGCTTACATAATGAGAAAGAAACGTGAACGTTTACCGTGTAGTGGCGATATAAGAATATCCACTATCCGATATCATCCCGTGGGTGTCGTAAGACGCGACTGAGGGAAACAAATCAAGAGATGTACAGCAGCGCTTAAAAATAAAAATACTGCGGTTGCCAACCCACTTGCCAAGTATGGCAACTATCACAAATATCCCCCGTATGAGGCGCTCTATGGTGGAAGCCTATGTCCAGCAGTGGACTTTAATAAGCTGTAACTGCAACGGAAGAGGACGTCACAATATACAAATGCTGACCACAACTGCTGGTGGTGCATTCTACTAATTAAACAACAGGCGCTGGCCACCGACTATTATTTAAATCAAGTTAAATATCTTCATTATTCAGTGGCCTTTACAAAAAACTCAAGGCAGAAAACTACCCATCGCTTCAGAAGCTCCTTACTCGAGATTTTCTAGGTAGCAGGATTCCGTTACTGAATCCGTCTGGGTAAGTTTCACCCCCTTTTCAATTTCTGCTGCTAAGAGTACCACTCGGACTGTTGTGTTTTTTGGGCTGAAGGGAATAGAGAGCAGGTATAATTAAAGGCTGTGAGGAGGCATTCCATCTTGGCCCATAGTTCCTTAACCTTCATGGTTTGCACTTAGCTGCAGTCCATGCAATGCAATAGCCACTTACCATATGGTGGATTGTAAATTCGTTTGTTTTTTTTTAAACCACCCTTATTTTTAATAAATAATATCTCTCTTATTAACACAGACATCTCTAATTGGACTGTCCGCCATCGTCCAACATAACAGTCACAGTAGTGGCAAATCAATGTTGTAGTGAATTCGACACTTAGGCGGGGCAACGCGATACTTTGCACAGCATCCCGAGCCCCGACCAGTTCGCGGAAGGAAGCTTCCCTGTACACCCATTGTTAGCAATTACCCGTGTGCTTTTATCGGAGAGATTTTTTCTTCTTCAAGATATACAATTCGATGTAAGAAATCCCATTAACTGTTTAGTTAAGACAATATTAAATCAAAATAAATGTATGGCCTTACTATCAACTTAACATTTGGTGAAACGTCATGATTATCATTACAGCACTTCACAAGTTCACTGCTGAACATAGAGGACTATGTTGTAGAAGGAATGTCACAAACCACGGTCCTGAGCCACCTGCATCGGTCGACTTCCTGCATCTCCGACCAGTTCTTCACTTAATCTAGTGCGGGAACCGCCCTACACTTTACTAAATAATACGAGGTTGCTACTGAAGGATCTTCCTTCCCCATCAGTGGTCGGTTTATGAGCTTTATGGCCGGCCCATTGCCACTGTAGTTTACTAATCCGGTGCATTATGTCGATTACTATGGTTCTACTGCGGATTTCGTCATTTTTAGTCTATCACGCAAAGAAATCCGGTATGTTTATACACATACTTTACGTTAAATCCTTAGAGCCACTCAGCAGCTGTAAAAATAGAATTTTATTTTCTCAACATAGACCAAATTTAATGACGTCATATAGTTGCAGAAAAAGCAGGGTGTGAACGTACCTACTACCCCATAACATCCCGTGGGTGTCATTAGAGCTAACAGAAAAGAATGTCCTCAGAGGTAACAACACATCTGCATTTTGATTCTCAATCGAGGATAAATGTAGATGTGTACAGGCCACAGCATTCACTTACCATCAGGTGGACTGTGTGCTCACTTGTCACCCTTATTCTATAAAAAAATAAAACAGGAAATAGGCAATAGCTTTTACCTAATGAACAACTCAATCAATAACTAAAAAACTTAAAATAATATAAATCTGCAGTTGCCAACCCGCAGGCCAAGCTTGGCAACTGTGTCGCATATCAACTACTAGGCTGCACTAAAAGTATCGGGAATGGAATATTTCCACTGTTCCTGTCATATTAAAATCTTTTTA